ACCTTGACCTTCATTCAATAATGGGCTTGACATTCAAACTTAAACTAAACAGTATTTTTGGATAAACAGACCTTGTTCTTCACTCATAAATGACCTTGACCTTGATAGTTAAATTATTGATTTTTCCCCGCTGTAACTGTTCTTTGTTATTAATAAATTGGTTTACCTACCTACCTACCTATACCTACCCACCTACCCACTTACCTACCTTTCTATCACAAGCACAAATAATAATACCATTGCTGATTTACAACAGTTGTACTGATGTCATGATATGAAATGTGCCATTCAGAAAAATAACTTTTTTTTCTTTTTCATTTTATTTCAAACGCATATAAGAAGCTATGTTATTGATTGTATGATTGATAATGCTTAAATGATGATGGTATGGTGATGCTAAGCTGAAGTTTTTTGATTTAGATGATGATGATAATATTTGTTATGGTAATGAAGTACATCAGCAGAAGTACATTGATTGTGACGATGATGATTAAGCTATATGTGGCCATGGAATTCAAAGTGTAATAATGCTGAAATATTTTATTCTTAATTAAAGGGACCTTGAAGTTATCTTTAGCGTGCCAGTTCAAGCTTGAAATAAATAAATAATGATGAGAACCTATCCTCGGTTGATATATTTCATACAATCCTGCGATGCTTTTGATTTTTTTCAAGTGACTTATATTATAATAATTTCAAGGATAAAAAAGAGAATATTAAATCTGAATATCTTTACATGTACTTATATCTTATGTACTTATATGTAATGTGAGCATCGATGAAGATAGCAGACAATATTTTTTTTTGTTCAGATTTACATGTATAAGGTTAAATTCTATACACCATGTAATATCTCAATTTGTTAGTTAATAAGAAAATAGTTGAGTACAAGGATTCAGTTGTCAGAAACATAAAACAGCCAATTCCAAACCTCCATGCCCAAGTAGACACCCTTTTTTTCGTCCGGGAAAAGAATAAAAAAGATTCTGCAAATGATAAAATTATCAAATTATTTTTGAACACATTACAAAACCAACAAAACTAACAGTAACACATTTTTAAGATAATCAGCGGAAACCATGTGGTCTACCGACGGACAGACCGACGGACCGACAAACATTTTGAATTCTGTTCCAAATTTGACAATTTGGGAATTACACAAAGACAGGTTGCAAGGTTTGGCTAAAATAGCTACAATGGTAGCTTTACTGAACCTTTATTTATAAGAACTAAGACCTAAGTTCTTAGATATAAGTCTTAAAATCTAACATCTAAGTTTAAATTGTTACCTTCTCACTCGAAACGGCCTCAATGGGCTTCCGTTTATAGCGTGCAATAAGGCATTGTGTACTTTCAAATAGTGTTGAACGATAGGTTCTGTTGAATTTTTCAATTATATAAGATGCTAATATATCCTCACCTGAACCCCCATTTCTTTCTTTAAAACATTAAAAATGTCTTTTGCTATTTTATCTCTGTCTAATGATAACTAAATGTCTATAAATAGTGCATTTTCTTTTCTGGACTTTACAACCAGAACATTTATATTGTCAACTATTATTTTGTTGAACTCTTATGTATTTTATTGAAACCTTAGTGAATAAAGATATTTGAATTTGATATAGAAATATCTTATGTTTTTTTTTATAAGAATCATTTCAAGAAAAATAAAGTAGAACTTTTTTATGTAGTAATAATAAATCCACCTTTTTGCAACAATTATGAAAAGGTTTTTACATCAGACGTAGTCGCAAAGGGGTTTTTCTTGGCAATCTTGGCAACAAAGCTATAGAGGCATGTTTTTGTTTGTTCAAATCTATTTAATGTTGTTTTTTTAACTTCTTTACCGTCAACAAGCCTAGAATTTTCTATAATTAACTTCAACTACATTTCTATGTAGTGCGATGATCTTTTGTTGCCCTACGTAGATTGTGCATGCGCATGAAAATGCTACATCCAATCGAATATTCAAACCAACGTACCGAGTTGTTAAAAGGTCCAAAGAGTCTACAAATATCAAAAACAAACAATAAATTCCTACTCTCACAGAACACTATTCAAGATTTAAATTTTAAAATGGAGTGATATACAGAGTCCCTAAAGAACGCAAAAAACGACATAATTGAAAATGTTGCAGGCACGGTTTAATTGAGTGTTTGTGTTGACGTTAATAGAAAGTACAAGTAACCGTCCACGCCCTAACAAATTTTTATGCGAGTTTGTTTCCAGATTTTTAGTTAAAGCAAGATGATTTGATTACTTTCAGCAATGTTCATATTAAAAAAAAATATTATTCTTTTTATCTAATTTTGTTACATAGTTTGGACAATCGTGATTTTATATTTTTTCATTACCAACATTGCACGATGGTACGATGGTGAAAACGCGATGGTACGACGGCACGATGATGAAAACACGATGGTACGATGGTGAAAACACGATAGTACGATCGCAATGTCGCGATGGTACGATGGTGAAATCGCGATTTTATATCGCGTTTTCGCCATCGTACGATCTCGTTTTCACCATAGTACCATCGCGCCATCGTGTTTTCACCATCGTGCCATCGCGTTTTCACCATCGTACCATAGCGCTTTCACTGTCGTGCCATCGTGTTTTCACCATCGTACCATCGTGCATTCACCATAGTACCATCGCGTTTTCACTATTGTACCATCGCGTTTTCACCATCGTACAATCGCGCTTTCACCATCGTACCATCACGTTTTCACCATCGTGCCATCGCGTTTTCATCATCGTACAATCGCAATTTCACCATCGTGCCACTGTTTTTTCACAATCTTACCATCGCGTCATCGTGTTTTCATCATCGTACCATCGCGTTTTTACCATCGTGCCATGGCGTTTTCACCATCGTGCCATTGCAATTTCATCATCGCACTTTAGCGTTTTCATCATCATACCATCGCGTTTTCACCATCGTATCATCGTGCCATCGCGTTTTCACCATCGTGACATCGTGCATCGAGGGTACAAACTTAATAAAAAAATCACGAATGTCCAAACGGAACACCGTACATATGTGTGCAAATAAGTATGCTTTCGGAAACCTGTACATTTACCATCGTGTCATTGCGCTTTCACCGTTGCGCCATCGTGTTTTCATCATCGTGCCATCACGTTTTCACCATAGTACCATCGCGCTTTCACTGCTGTGCCATCGTGTTTTCACCATCGTACCATCGTGTTTTCACTATCGTACCATCGTGCATTCACCAAAGTACCATCGCGTTTTCACTATTGTACCATCGCGTTTTCACCATCGTACAATCGCGCTTTCACCATCGTAACCATCACGTTTTCACCATCGTGCCATCGCGTTTTCATCATCGTACAATCGCGATTTCATCATCGTACCATTGCTTTTTCACAATCTTACCATCGCGTCATCGTGTTTTCATCATCGTACCATCGCGTTTTTACCATCGTGCCATGGCGTTTTCACCATCGTGCCATTGCAATTTCATCATCGCACTTTAGCGTTTTCATCATCATACCATCGCGTTTTCACCATCGTATCATCGTGCCATCGCGTTTTCACCATCGTGACATCGTGCATCGAGGGTACAGACTTAATAAAAAAATCACGAATGTCCAAACGGAACACCGTACATATGTGTGCAAATAAGTATGCTTTCGGAAACCTGTACATTTACCATCGTGTCATTGCGCTTTCACCGTTGCGCCATCGTGTTTTCATCATCGTGCCATCACGTTTTCACCATAGTACCATCGCGCTTTCACTGCTGTGCCATCGTGTTTTCACCATCGTACCATCGTGTTTTCACTATCGTACCATCGTGCATTCACCAAAGTACCATCGCGTTTTCACTATTGTACCATCGCGTCTTCACCATCGTACCATCGCGCCTTCACCATCGTACCATCACGTTTTCACCATCGTGCCATCGCGTTTTCACCATCGTACAATCGCGATTTCACCATCGTACCATTGCTTTTTCACCATCGTACCATCGCGCCATCGTGTTTTCATCATCGTACATCGCGTTTTCACCATAGTGCCATCGCGTTTTCAGCATCGTGTCATCGCCCTTTCACCGTCGCGCCATCGTGTTTTCACCATCGTACCATCGTGCATTCACCATAGTACCATCGCGTTTTCACTATTGTACCATCGCGTCTTCACCATCATACCATCGCGCTTTCACCATCGTGCCATCACGTTTTCACCATCGTGCCATCGCGTTTTCACCAGCGTACAATTGCGATTTCACCATCGTACCATTGCTTTTTCACCATCGTACCATCGCGACATCGTGTTTTCATCATCGTACCATCGCGTTTTTACCATCGTGCCATGGCGTTTTCACCATCGTGCCATCGCGTTTTAACCATCGTGCCATTGCGATTTCACCATCGCACTATAGCGTTTTCATCATCATACCATCGCGTTTTCACCATTGTATCATCGTGCCATCGCGTTTTCACCATCGTGACATCGTGCATCGAGGGTACAGACTAAATAAAAAATCACGAATGTCCAAACGGAACACCGTACATATGTGTGCAAATAAGTATGCTTTCGGAAACCTGTACATTTTACTTCAAATATTTGTATAGACAGATACATGTATGTCATGAGAAGACTGTGTAAGAGGCAACTTAAATAGAAATCGTTAATTACTGTTAAATACTCTAGGTTGATCAACTGCTAAGATATGTTACCACAATATTCGCAGAAAAACAAGAAAAAGCAGAACAAAATAAAATATTCTTATTTCCATTGATTTCGAATATATTCTTTTATATGCATTCAAAATAAAGCTTTGTTAATATTGGTTTGACAGTTCTGTAGAACTTGTTTTTATCTACTAAAAAGAATGAAATTCAGTTACTCTCTCGTTATTTCTTTTGATTCTGTAATATAGTACTCAGTTCAGTCTCTATTTTAGAAGTTCAATTACAAAGAAATATATAGCATTTAACATATCTTATTATAAGGTGTTTTCATTCCAGGTTTTATGAGGGTAAAAAGTCTGTTTGGCAATGGCAGCAAAATTAATTAAGGAACACAACACCAATGTTTTACAGAGCCTCGAAAAAGGAGATATGGTGGAGATCAAAAGGAGTTTTTCATACTCACACTGGGCGGTGTATGTAGGTATTGAATTATGTCTTTCCTTTTATCTTTTTTGTAAAGTTTCATTTGTTTTTTGGAGCTGAAAATTAGCGCTGAATACATGTCTTTGTCCAAAATGTCTTACCAAAACTGATACAATAATATTCACCTTATTGAATTTATTGTACAACCAGGCCACCAGCAAAAACACAAATAACAAACATTATTCATATTACCATCATGTGAGGGTAAAACATAGTATGTATATGTATTGTCCGCTATTACAAAAAACAATTACAAAATTTAAGACATAGACCAGAATAAATTAAATTAAATTTAGATTTAGATTATTTTCTTCTATACTCAAATAAGAAAATAGCATGTTTTATGTTTGTTTTCAGACAAAGGTTTGAAATGCAAAGCGGCAAAGAGGTGATGTTTGCAGTATCTTTTTTCTTGAGGTCACAACATAATTATTATCTTTAGGCTTTACATATAATATTAAGGCTACAACCTATTGTTTTAAAGCCTTAAGATATAATCGTGTAACCACAACTTATCATCTTGTGGCCACAACTTATTATCTTGTGGCCTAGACTTATTTTCTTGTTGCCTCCTCTTATTATTAATTTGCTGCCTTAAGATATTGTCTTGTGGCCTAAAGACATTATCCTTAGGCCATATCTGATTACCTTGAGGCATCAATATATTACATTGCGGCCACGACTTATCATCTTGTTTTTTTTTCTCGACTTATTATGTTGTGATGTAGAGGCAACGTTTCAGTATATTGTGGCCGCAAATTATTATCCCCATGTCAATACTTATTTTAACCAATAAATATTTCGTTTCATCTTCAGCGGACGCATCAACGTAAACAAAGTTATATATATATAAATATATTATTTTTTCTTTATACCAAATTTTTATCAAAATAAATTATAATAGTCATAAAATAAACATGGCAAAGACATAAAGGTATGTATGGCAGGTTTGTCTTAGACTTTATTAAGAGAAAAATATTTTGATTTTCCTTTTAAGAACACAAAATGATGGAAACAGTTATTGCGTATGTTCAATGACAACGTAAACAGTTGTGATTTAATGGTATATTCAGCGAAGCATGGCAGTTATGGTTTACATATTTGCGGTCGTTTGTTTGAAATTATGTATTCATGTAAGATATCAGATCAGATGTATAATCTGCTTAAAAATCATTATTATCATTGAATTTAAATTAATCACACGCACACGCACACACACACACACACACACACACACACACACACACGCGCGCGCGCGTGTATTGTTGTTCATAAATATTGTCGTCCGATATCAATATATCATTGGTATGCCTTGCACTGAATCCATAAGAGCTGTTTAATATTATGTTTTTTTTCCATTTCAGGTGACGAAAAGGTCATTAACTTGACAGGGGATGACAATAATTGGTCTTCTGCATTTAACACCGTTGTCAAATTGGAAGACTTTTGGAAAGTTGTAGATGGCTGCAAATGCTATCAACGTTATTCCAAAAATAAGAAAATGAGGTAGGCTTTCGACCTTTAGTAGAATTTATTATAATTGATTTATGATACCAAATCATGGTTGCGTGACTGCAAAAAAAACAGATAATTACTTTGAAATTTAATGATAACGGAAGACAGTCTTGACAAAGTGCAGTCATCTGACCTCTTCCTCTATCAATAAAGCTGGCAAGTTGACATGTGAATTAAAGATGCCGATGTTACTAAAATTTAGTATAACCTGAAAATGCTTAAGCATGGACTTTCTTAATATAACACAATAATTACTATACACTTAACACCTTCATAGCGTATTAAAGAATTACACAGAATAAATTCATTCATTAAAAAAAAGAAAGGACCAATTCGATTTTACGAAAAAAAAGATAATAACAAAATAAAAAGCCCCTTATTCCATTCTGTTAAACATCATGAGGTACATTTGGTACATCCAGTAATTATTTGGTTGCAAAGTAGCTTGTAGGGTTAAAAGGCAGTTTGTAGGGTAGAAAAAGAATATGATCAAAGGAACAAAACAATAATGTCTATACCCTAAGTGAGTCCATAGACTCACAGTTATAACAGGTTTTTTAATATTTGGCCTCTAATTATGTGCTTTTAAAACACAGGTTAATACTGATAGAGATATGACTTTCATTCAGAAAATGTTTTATGAAATTATAAATATTGGTGTCAGTAGAGTAATTTTGAAGGATTACTGTAATTGTGTTGATATTTGAAACGTTGATTTTCTATAACAAAGTTGATATGATTAATTTTTTTAGTCATAATGGAATTAAATCAATTCATTTATCTTTAATTATTAATGTGTTTCCTCAGTAAAAGTTTCTTCTTTATTTCATTTCATTTGTTTCATTTTAAAGGACCGTATGTTCCATTTTAAAGACTTTGACGGAATTTATGTTTCTGTGTATTTATCGTACATTTTTCAAACATGTCGCTTAAACTTTAAAAAAAACGAACTATCCCTATACTAGTGAGAATTTATTACACTTCCTATGCATTTGGATAAATCTTAAATTAGCAAATTCTTAACGCTACTTGTATTTTTGGCGGACGATAGATTTTGCTTTAATATTTACTAACATCTGTTGTTTTTTTTTCTATTTATAATTATACTGAATGCATGAAACACTCATTTAAATATTCGATCCCACGTTGGTTTTTTATGGTGGCAGAGAGGTGCTTATGTGTATTTTTACTTATATCGTGCGCACGAGAGACAATGTTGTAATGAGCACGAGATAAATAAAAGCACATGTACATGTCACCTCTATGCCGCCGTAGTTCTGTCTGTATTGATTATGAGAATTAGTATTGAGATTATGACAAATGTTTTAAAATGTCAGACCAGAAAATCCTATTATTTAAGAATAAGAGTATAGACTTTACCAAAATGTTAAACCTGTAGTTTACGCTATTTCGTATAATCCCGTATACATGTAATCAGTATGTTATTGACAGGTTAATAGCTCTAAATGAAACTAACCATGGGAAAATTTAGAAAATGGGGTTTAAGACACATATTTGTTTGTCAATAATTTGTGCCCCGCCATCTTGGCCATTTACGGATTGATTAAGTAACAACTTTGCATAAATCGAGGGGTCAACGCAAAACTAGTCTATGTGGCATTTTTTCATAAAAAGTCTTTTTTACAGATTCGGAAAAGTCCTCATATTATGTTAATTTTTTTCTTTTCTTGTGCATAATTATGGACATAAAATTTATTTGCCATACTATTCTATCTGAAAAGGCTATATTTGTTCAATGCGAAACTAGTCTGTCTGCAAAAAATTGCACATAGACTAGTTTCGCATAAATATTCACAAATTATATCAAATTTTCTATACAATTGCATTCTTTATAGTAGTTAAATTTATAAACCATTCAAAAAAATCAAAACAACCATTAAAAACTGTTCGTAGTTAGTAATGGCTTGCTTGAACTATTTTTAAATATTTTTTTAAAATTTTGTTTGATGCAGGTATTATTTTTAAATTTTTGTATTTATTAGTTTGATTATTCTATTGATTTTAAATAAAAAGATTTCAAAGGCAAACTTCAAACTAGTGGAAAAAACTTTGGAAGCAACACATTAATTTATTTAGCTATGTTTTTTGAAGACTCAGTCAGTCAGTCCACATACCGGAAACCAACAATCAGTAATATCCAATACTTTTTGTAAATGACCAACTACGTATCTTATCCACATGATTTCTATGTAACTTATAAGCAAAAAGAGAAAAATGAACATTTAGACTTAATATCTGAGATTTATCAGTCCCACAGAAATTTCACCTAGCCTGAGAAAAGAACGTTTTTTACACCCCTCCATAACAAATCCAATGCTTAACTGAAATTGCCTTTTGATTTATATTCAATATATTTCTCATCTGATTAACCTTGAAATAACTAGACATGTGTGCATAGGACATAACTGTCCCCCATATTCCACTGTTTTGTCAGTGTAAAGATGTCTGACATGACAGCGGGACAGCATAACGAACAAGGGCATATCAGAATGGCCCATTCCTGCCGAACCCAGACTGCCCGGTTTACAGTCAAACAACTTACTAGGATATAGTTTGAGTGTCATACAAATATTACCTAACTAAGGAAATTCGAAATATTTGGTCGCAAAAGAAAATTGACAAACAATATAAAACTAGTAAATTGCCTGTATTTATGCACTCTACTAGGAACCAGAACTTTGTGTGGAACCATTTAAATGCAGAACTACTCTGATTGGTCAATGACTCGTAGCCAATCAGAGCTCATTAGGGATTTCATAACTATCCTTAAAATAGATTATGTTTTATGGAAAAAATTTGCAACGGTATCAATTGACCATGATTATAAAAATAATAATGTTTTGCAAATTATTTGTAACAATAAAAGTATTAACTAATATCAACTTAACTTATTTACAAACATATATAAATCATGCAAATGCTAAATGAACAATATGTATCTCACTAAGTTTAAAGGCAAGTGTTATTGAAAGAAGAACCATTCTCTATACATTGTATATAAAGATCGAGTCTTATGCCATGCTATGTTACTGTGTTACTATCAATATGTCCTTCAATGTTACTCAATTCAATTATAATCAACATTAAACTAGTGCATGATAAGAATGAAATGTCTATAAAACAATACATGTTCAATATGATTAAACTTTAAAATAAACTTAAATCTTAAAACTTAAGTTTAAACCCAAAATATTTATTAAAAATATATATGTGAAGATGATACATGTTGTACTTCTTGAGTAATATTATACATCATTATGTAATGATTATGTAGCTGTTGTAAGTGGAATCCAACTTACCAACATATATATTTTTCATTATATAAAACTACTTTTTTGTTTAAACAATATAATTCTGTAACATGAAGCTTGAAATATTGTACACAATAGCATGAATTGTTAACTGATATTATTTTATATGATTTTTGTTATGTTTTATATCAACAAGTAATTTGTTTTTATTTTTCTTCATCAATGCAGCCACTTTGTGGAATTAAATTGGGAAGCCGTCAATTTTATGGTTTTTAATGGTAATCATTTAAGGATTATAAATTTGTTATACTGTTGTTTATTTTATAAAAAGAAAACATTTTGTAACTGACATTTGATACATATGGGTTTTTTAGTTTAGTTAATTCAGTATGGTATTTTATTTGTTGTTAATTGTATAGGTGAATATTTTGTACCATTTTAAACCTGTTTCATCTGCCATTTTTCTATAATTAGTAATGGATAGCTTACTATGGGAAAATTAACTTACATTAAGATATTCATGTTGTCATCTTAGTGCGGTAAAAGGTTAAGTCCTTCTAAATTATAAGTTCCTTTAACGTCTAAGAACTATGGTGGTTAACAATGTATATTTGAATATACTTCTTTCTATCATTAATCAAAAATGCACACGTAAAGAAATATTGTGGATAAAACACATTTATCTCCTTCAGTCAAATTTTCCAAATTTCAGCTAAACTAAACTTAACTATTATGTACGTATATTGTGAATGACAAAATAAGCGTTATTATTTTTGTTATGATTTTCGGATGTCTGAAGTAACTATTTAAACATAGGATATCGTTTGTCAAGCATGATAAGTATTCATTAGTAATTAATTATTGGTAAAACATGTTGTTTTCTTTTTATATGCCCAAAAGGGCATATTATGTTATACCCCCTGGCGTCTGTCTGTCTGTCCGTCCGTCTGTTAGCAATTTGGTTTCCGGAGAATAACTAAAATTCTATCTGGCCTACAAACTTCATAGGATGATTGTCGATATTGGGTAGAAGACCCCTATTGATTTTGAGGTCAAAAGGTCAAAGTCACTATTACCTAAAAACTGAAAACTGTTTCCGCCCGTAAACAATTTTCCGTCCGTTAGCAATTTGGTTTCCGGAGCATAACTTAAGTTTCATTTGACCCACAATGTTCAAACTTCATAGGATGATTGACCATATTAGGTAGAAGACCCCTGTTGATTTTGAGATCACTAGGTCAAAGGTCAAAGTCACTATTACTTTAAAACTGAAAACAATTTATGTGCGTTAGCAATTTGGGTTCCGGAGCATAACTTAAGTTCCATTTGGCCCACAATGTTCAAACTTCATAGGATGATGGTCCGTATTAGGTAGAAGACCCCTATTGATTTTGGAGTCAAAAGGTCAAAGGTCAAGGTCACTTTTACCTAAAAACTGAAAACAGTTTCCGTCCATAAGCGATTTTCCGTCCGTTAGCAATTTGGTTTCCGGAGCATACCTTAAGTTTCATTTGACCCACAATGTTCAAACTTCATAGGATGATTGTCCATATTGAGTAGAAGACCCCTATTGATTTTGGGATCACAACGTTAAAGGTCAAGGTCACTATTACCTTGATACTGAAAACAGTTTCCGGAACATAACTTAAGTTCCATTTGGCCCACAATATTAAAACTTCATAGGATGATTGTCCATATTGGGTAGAAGACCCCTATTGATTTTGGGGTCACCTGGTCAAAGGTCAAGGTCACTATTAGCTTAATACTGAAAACAGTTTCCGAAGCATGTGTATGTGTGTTTCTTCTTTATAGATTATATAGTGAATGTCTTTTCTCTAAACTTTCAAACTTACTTAAGGGCTACGGACTTTCAATGACGTTTAGCAACTAAGATAAATAATTGGACAAAAGTTATAAAATCTTCTTCTCAAGAACCACAGTGCTTAGAGCTTTGTGATTGTACATGCAGCATTACCTAGGTTTACTAAATCACAGCCCCTGTGGTCACAATTGACTATTAAAAAAATCATCTTCAGGACTGGTCTATAGCTAGTGCTTTGGTATTAGGTATTGTCTTGTAAAACTCAAAGACTGTTTAAAACATGGACCCTGGGGCCAAACAGTCCTCATATTTTCTGCTCATTGTGCATGTATATGATGAGATACCTCTATTTTATAAGGGAACTTTTGCTTTTACATTTTGCATGTAGCACTACCTAGTACAAAGTTTGTTCAGATCAAAACCTTGAGAGTCAAGTTTGCAATGCCCTGATGTTAAAAGGACAAAGTAATAAACCTTTTTGTCTTGATAATAAAGATATAGCCTTCATAACACAACATATGATACATCTGAACAACGTTTTTCATTTTATGATGATATTTGACTTTGGACCCAATATGAACGTTGTAGTCAAAGGGCAAATTTATTCATACTTAAAAATGATGTACATGTACTTGGTTATGAAGGCCTGATATTCATTTGACATGCTTTATAGGAGCCTGGCTTATATTCAGTATTGACCATTACTGGTCAATGTTTAAATGTTTAAGTCTTCATAACTTATTTGTTTATACAATGAAATTTGTATTTTGTTTATAGATACATATGATAACCAATTATTTTGTTTCACATGCTGAAATATTTGTGTTGAGTTCTATGATAACACACACTAACAAGCCAATGATTCTAAGTAATGGCATTTATTTTCGTTAGCAGTCTTGTTATCATTATTTAATGACTTCTCTGTTATACACAGATAAATGTTGTAGTCGTTGTTTTATGACATTAATATTAAGGTTGTGGTGTTTATTTTATTACAGTTTCCTCTATTTATTTTATAATAGTTTGCTCTATTTTTAAATGTGTTGTTAATTTTATTTTGAATGGATGGAATGGGTTGTTTTATGCATTAAACCAATGTAGTGGTGCTATTTTGCTTTCTTTTTATACCCCTGAACCAATTTCAACATAAATATTGTTATACATCTGACCATCCATCTGTTAGTCATTTCGTATCTTTTAAATTAAAACTACTTGGCAGCAATGTTAACCATAATGGGAGCACCTCATGCCAATGTCACACTTTGTCATTTTGTATGAATTTCAAAATTTTGAAAGAAAGAACTTGATACATTTGCTCAGAAATATGACTCATAATCAGCCGATATACAAAACACAGGTTTGGGTTTCCCGAGATCGAAATTGCCCCCAACCCTAGGAGTACTTGATTTATAGAGACATGCACAGGAGAATACATTTAAGTATAAATGTATGAAAATTCAGTGTCTAGAGTTCAGATATTAAGCATAATGCATTGCCTCATTGACCTTTACAAAACTGTAATGAAACATGCCAATGGGTGTTCCAGAAGTCACTTGGTGTGTGTAGACATGGTATGAATCACATTTGCATTTGAGTGAAACTTCAATGCCCAGAACTTATAAATTTGGCATGTAACCTCATTACACATGATCCTCAAGTCAAAGTTAGCCCTGCCCTGAGACTCACTTTCTTTATGTAGACTTATGTTTAGGAAAACACACATCTTATCTTTGTGTAGACAGCTACTTTATCCAGTGTTTCTATGTTTGACACAAAGCATTGCCTAGTTGACGTCCATAAAAGTTCTATGAAATGAATCATCCACCTAGGTTAAAAATGCCCCCACTTGGAGTTCGGGATTGACCAGAGTAGTTGTACACTTGTGTAGATTTAAAATGTAAAAAGTTACTTGTGCGTTTTCCTTTCCCGTAAAATACGACACTTTTAAAGTGTCACTCTTGTGAAATTGACTTAAGATTTAACTTACACGATCAAGTGATCATGTTTTTTTTACACGATCAAGTGATCATGGTTTTAATTTCATTAATTATATCAAATTTACTGGAACGAAAATTAATGGTACACAAACAAATAGTTAAAAATTTGCTTAGAGACAACCATATTCTACGATCAAATAACAAAACAAATACAAAAAAAATCACGTTATTTAAAAAAAAAATTAGTATAGATTGTTCCAAAACATATTAAAACAAAACATAAAAAAACAATCATTGCTTTTACTATGCTGAAAATACAAATAAGAAAAAAACATAGACAGGAATTCAGAAAAAAATTAAACCGTAGTCTACCTTATTACGCTGTAACGCGTTGTACAACTGTTTCATAGATAATCACATCTTACTGCCTACATCTTACATAGTTTGAAGATTAACTAATGCATTGTGTGCATTGACCCTATACTCTGCATGCGATTGGCAGGTTAATAAAACCAAACAATATATGTCGTGGTTGAAAAGTGACAATAAATAGTTTTGGATAGGTTTATCAAAAGCAAAAACGAGTTAAAACAGCTGGCAAATTCATCCTATTTTTAATGAAAGCTCTAAAAAAAGTATTTAAAATTTTAAATGTGAAATATTGTGAAGTGAACAATTTTTTTTACAAAATTAGCTTGCAATCCACATAAATTACCAAAAAGGAGATCAAAATAAGCAAAAATAGCCCTAGGACCTTGCACTGTGTTAGTAAAACAGTAAGAGATATGGTGGTAAACACTGACATTACTGCAAAATTCAGTCCTTAATCATAACATGAAAATTATCATTTGTATATGTACTTGAATTTAAAACATTTTTTTTCTTTTCTACATTTTTATCAAGTTTAATTTTCTTGAATATTTTGGTTCATCTGGAGGCATGCCGCTTTTAGAGCCAATACCTTTATTAAAAAATAGTGGGCCTGATATTTATCTGGCTCGACTAAACCGACATAACAAGGGATGCATGCTGGTGAATTCAAAATTTATTTTTAGCTTGAGTATATGTAGAGCAGTGCTACTCACTCATGCATTGGCATCTGTACTATTCAGTTTTAGTGCAGCAATATAATTTTACTGTGATATTTCCTTTTTTTAACTTTTAACTTCAAATATTTTATATGTTCCTTATCATCACTCAGTCACATAATATGGGACCCAAGTTATTTTTCTCACTAAATATTGTAAACGGGGAACAGTCTTTCGGTTCGATATCACAGGACCGTTTGTGTAAATTAAACACAAGAAATGATAATAAAGGCAAATGTAAGTTTTATGAATTGTATTAAATATTTAAGTCATCATATTTCATAATTAACATACATATAAATAAATAAGGTAGGAGAAATAAAAGAAAATCGGAAAACTTCCGAGAAATGAAAACAACGGCTTACCGCAATGGTGGTCAGAGCGCTTCTGGTCTTTTATGACGTCAAACATTCACGCCCAAGTGTTCGTTCAAGTTTGACGTCATAAAGTGACGTCATAAACGTGTTAATTTACAGGACACTTGTTAATAACAATTAACATACAGAATGGGATAAATTTAAGTTGGCAAAAAGTGCCAAATGATTCCAAATACTTATTGTTCAGAAGCGTAATAATATTGCCTAACTTTAAACAAGAAAAGTGATCGTATAGTGTTTCAAAAGTGATTGTATAGTGTTTCAAAAGTGATTGTAAAGTATCAGTACTAGCATAATGGAATTTAAGATATCAGAAAATAAATAGAAATATAGTACTTATATAAAGTAAATTTGGTCATCTATTACACCCCCCCACCTTAGATTAATGTACATTGGTCAAAATGACCAAATAATGTGTAAGTTAAATAAATAACAGTTATGCAACACACCTCATTAGAGACTGCCTAACAATTAACAATAAATCCAAGTACACAAATAAAATTCAACAAGCATACAAGTTAACATTCATAAAATATTGCAGCTTAATACATTAACGTTTCACGACATCTAAAACGTCTATATTAACAACATCTCATATATACAAGATTAATTAAAATTTAAGTTAAGTAAATGTTCGAGTTCTTGCCTGTAGTTTAAATCACTTTGGGTTTATTAAATAATTTACTCTTCACAAAAGAGGAACAGTTCCATGTGACGCGATAAACAAATGTTTATATATAAAGTTTTAAGCCGTCTTTTTCTCTGTGGGCAGGGGTTTACTTAAGGTTTTGTCTTTCACTTGCCAAAATGGCAAGTAACTTTGAAGATCTACTTGCCCCCAGGAAAAGCAGGTTGCCCGATCCTAAATGTGAAGATTGTTAATAATCAAAGCAGAAATTATGGGTGAAAATAAGATTTATTGCAGAGCCTATCAACATATGCCTCATATAGAATGGATTTTATGATTGAATAGAAAATCAAGTCATCAACTATTTTATTTTGACAAAAACCCTAAAAAACTACAACAATAAGTTTTACTCAGGTAGATTAACAAATCATTCAATTAATTTAATTGTAAAATAGTCATAAATTCTCTATATGCTTTTTTTGCTAATTCACAACGGTCTTTATAGTCTAAACTTTTTTCAAACAGACTTTCATCATATTCATTATCATAAAAGTCACAGTCACTATTATATAGTAACTTTCTTCTACTTCTTCATCCATAACTATATCAATATTTGATTCTGTCTGAGTGGCTTTAGAAGAGAACACTGGAATAGGTGTGTCACTACCAACTTTCTTCTCTTGCTTCTCATAAATTTGAAAATTTGATTCATTGTTGTTCATATCAGAATTATTGTTAACTTCTTTGGTGCGATCAGATTCACCCTCTATTAAATCAGAACTTTTATTATCAACTTTGTTTTTTTATACTTATAATTTGTTTATCAGGTACATCTAGTTCTTCAGAAACACTACTATTCTCAAAGAATATTGATTCTTGTTCACATGTCAGATTGTCAACAACTGAACTCATCTGCTCTTCATTTTCACTTTCTAAGGTCACAACCATAAGTCCATCTTATTCCTCAGTGGCCGTTATAACACCTGATTTGACCGCTTCTCCAGTTCTGTCCTCTAGCTGTAAAGGATATAATTTGCTTTTGTTTCTTGTCTTGGCCTACGCAATACTGCTGCATTCCACAGATGAACTGCTTCAGTTGGATCATATTCATTTTCTGGCGCAGTCTCAAGAACTACCATCAGCTGGTTACTAAGGTTTGTGTCCAGTAGTTTATTTCTGGAGGCTGATTTTGTGTTTTTAAGGTAACTGAAAAAAAAAACACACACAAAAAAGACTATTAATAAAATTACATTTTAAACAGGTGACTTCAATCAAAGAATTATATCTATGATCCTATGGCATATACAGTTCTTTATGGTAAATTCAATTGCTTATTTCTATTTGTACAATGATGTAATGCAAAAATGAAAACTTACCTGAAACCTCTTTCAGCGTCTGCCGATGATGCTGGTATGGTATGAACTAAGTCTACAAGAGCTAGAACATTAGGACAACATTTTCCAAGTTTGGAGTTGACATCTACCCATGTTATGTTGTTTATTGGGCTTGTGAACCTACAAAAGCAAAAAATATCTAGAATTAAACACGCTCTTTCAAACCCTTTGTATGTCAATTTAAATTTCGATTTGCTTAAAAACTCTTTCTCATGATAATACAGTGCTAAATAAATGATTTGTTATTTATACAGTGCATATTATATATAAAAGATTTGTTATTGAATGTCATAGTATAAATTCACCAAATTAAATATGTACTAGGCTCATTTTAATAGTTAAAACATTTGATGCTGAATCTAACCAATTATATGTAATTCAAACTGAATATGTCTAATTTTAATACGAGAACACACAAAATGTGTATTGAAAAGCTGCATTACATTTTACGGGTCAAGATAAGTAGGTTATTTCTTTAAAAAACTGACAGTTTTTTTAACGATACTATGTATTCATACTGTATTTACCAATGGTGTGAAGAGTTAAAAACTTAACACATGTGTTCTGTGTAATATCTTTAAAAAGCCCTGTGTAGGAATTTACCATTTTTTAATATGAAATTTGAATCTTTAAGTACCTTGCTGGCATAAGCTGCTTTAATTTTGTACATTCATGTGCAATCTGATTAACATCTACACCACCATCTTCCAAAGCTGTACTAAAATGGTCAACAAGCTGATCTACTTCATCATCACCATAGTCTGAAAGAATAAAACACAAGTACTTAGTAGTAAATTTTAAAGTATAAGTAATGACTTAAAGTAAACTAAACCAGCCTGCCTAATCTCAGCAATATGATTAACAAATTTTATTTGCATACTTACAACTTTAAAAATACTTTAACACTTATTATCAGTTTTACAAATTCAAGCATTTACAAATATAAACTCAGCTGCAAACTTGTTAATCAAATATATTTTTTGTTGGAAATAAATGAAGTTTATTGTCAACACATATCTTTGATAGACTTAAATCATTCAATCTACTTCTAGATTTAGGGATTTCCTACCTATAAGATCTTTAGCATCACTAGGAAACAAGGATAGGTTAAATGTAGATACTGAGGCTAATATTCCTGGGTTGTCTGTGAATCGACGATGGAGAGATTCTACAATTGATGTCAGCAATTTGTGTCGAGCAGAAATAAAAGACCTATCATCTCCTGTAAGATCACAAGGTAGTAATTCCATAGCTTGTCGAAGTTTCAAACCATTTCTGAAAAAAATTCACATTAAAATAGTTTTTTAATCAATCTATTTTCAGTATAAACATGGCAATGAATTGCATGATAAATGACAGTATTAATTTTATAGATCAACAGTCTTTGTAAGTGAGATTTATCTTAAGTATCATGTTTACCTTTTTTTCATTTTTTCAAGACTAACTACAGCCATCTCAATTTCTGTTAACACCTCGGAAACACATGCTGCTTGTGACTGGAACATCTTGCTGACGGAAGAAAGTACTTCCAGTACATCAAGAAGGAAATGAAGCATCAACCATACAGATTTCGTCTTTGCGCAAGCATAGAAACCCTTTGCCTTGTTTCCCTTTTCTGTTCTACTCACAGATACATCTCTGTTCTGCAGCTAGAATAAAAAATAAATGTTGATGTAATTCTTATTATTAAGAATTATTAAAATATTACGTGTGAAACTGTTTATTTAATGTGTATGAAGTTTTTATATTTTAATTATTTGTACATTTAAGCCACTTTATGTAATTAAATGTTCATCACACACACACAATTTTTTTTTTAAATTATGTGGTATTTATATGCAAATCTTGTATCTTAATTAATAAAGCAATGAAAAAATTAATACTTTTGTATGATTTCAAATAAAGTTTGCTTAACTGTCTTTAGATTAATCTTTAATAAATTAATGATTGAATGCAAAATATAAAGTCACATAAAATTTTTATATGCACCTGTCCTAGATGGGTGACAAACATGTCATATCCCTTGAGAAGGTTCTCAACAGCTATTTTTAAATGACCAACCCATCTATTGCCGGAAACTCTAGTTGGATAAACCGTCTTTTTTCCAACTGCTTTGCTTGATTCTTTCAGTCCCGATCTTGAAACATTACTATTGCGATAGAAGTAGTATAAGTTTGTAAGAAACAACTCAACTTTGTTATACAAAGGGATTTGTGTTTTTATAGAGTCTTTAAATGAAAGTTCTAACTTATGACCATTACAGTGCACACCCACAATGAAAGGTCTGTTGACTGCTTCCCTCAAGCGCTGCACTGCTCCAGTTTTTGCTCCTAACATGGTGCTAGCACCATCGGTGCCAGTACCAACTAACTTGTCTTTATAGTTTACACTTTAATTTTTAAGTCCATTCTGCATCACCCCTAGACACATTTTTTATCAAAGAGAAATAGACCTCAACCTTTCCTTTATTACAAGTTCTAACATACACAATTTCTGCTTCCTGGTATGATGCATCAGTAGAGCCATCTGAAATGACCGATATAAATTTACTTTCAACAATATTTTTTCTAATTCTCTCCCGTGCTGCTTCTGCAATGTAACCCATGAATTCAGTAGCAGACCTGTTACTAAGGTAAGTTGTACCAATGTCTAAATTGTGAGCTTTGTTCAAATGACAAAGCTCAACATAGTCGGTGAATGGTCTACACTTTTTTGACAAATAATGAACGTTTCTGAATTTTATTTTCAACTGAGATATAGTTTTTTCATTCAATTTTGATAGTGCTTTAACTGCTTCCGAATTTTCCGGATCAAGTTTACTTTTTTCTTTTTTACATTCATACAATGAGAATTTGAGTCCTCGTGCGCTTTAATGGAATCTTTTCGAAAGAAATTTGTGCCTGTCACAAACGAACCGACTGTTTCAAATTTGTTACAAATTTTGCATCGCATTGTGCACGGCTTATAGTCATAAACCAACCATTCAAATTCCTTTAACCATGTTGCTTGGAACTTTCTCTGTCGTGCATCTTGTTCATATTTTCTTTTTCGTTCAATTTCTGATTGTTTCTTTGACGAGGGTATTTCTTTAATTGTTGTAGGTTTTTGAAAAATTGCAAAAAACTTTCGGCGTCTGACATTCATTGTTGTCCGCCATTTTGGAAGGAACGCCGATTGGAAAAAGTTTGACATAGTTTCATTGGTTGATAGCAGCCCAACTACCAATCAGAAACAGTTTAACATACGCGTGTTTGTCTATTAAACGAACGCAAAGAAAAGTATTATCGGAAAAGGATATCAGCGAAAAGATGGCACTACGAAAATTCACTTGCCCGCCGGGCAATTTGCTTTCAAATTTCACTTGCCCGCGGCGATTTCTACCCGACACGGGCAAGCGGCCGTCCACTTAAGAAAACCCCTGTGTGGGTGTGTTTGTCTTTCTTTTATCTTGTTCCGAACGTGGTATAGTATGGAAGACTTCCAAAGTTAAACAATTCGCAAGTGTACCAGATAAGAATTGGCAGGATTACGCTCTAAAACACATGAAATATTGTTTAGACATTTGGAGAAGAATACCAATAACAATTATAAACATGCTGGAATTGACGATTATATCCAAGAAGTAACCAGACACCTTGAAATGAATGAAATTTAATTATACATATATGCAAAAAAACGTTATCCAGTGCAGTGTGAAACAACTTTCTTCTGTTAATCTGGTCCTGGTATTTGGACAATTACATACAAAGCTACGGTAACCATGTCAACTCTAAAATAGGCAAACATTATGTAAGTTTCTAATAATTAGATTGTAACCACATCTCCTTAAAAGAGAGTAACATAAACATTAAAACAATTAACGTTGTTACAATCAATTAATGAATAATCAATTTATTTTAAATTTAAATTACATGTACACTTTCAAATAAAAGATCTTTACTGTACTAAATGTAACTTTCTGTATAATGATCAAAGCAAATAGCAAAAATTCATCGAGGCCCGAGCATAGAACTATTTATTTTTAATAATCCATTTGATAATATGTAAATATACAAATAGAAGTTATGTAGTTTATTTACACAAAATAAATAAACTATATACATTACAATTGACTGCAGTGTTCCAACCTGATAATGAAAATAAACAACATGGTATGGTAACACATAAAATACAGTTGTTAAAAGAACAACTTGTTTTACTTGTTTGACTGATTCTTTTTTTTCATCCAGTGCTTTAAGTTTTAATTTATCTTCTTCTGATAAAGATTCCAGTTTGTGCATTGCTTTCCCAAGGGGGCACTGTACTCAACAATAACATCAGTACAAAACGAAGTGAAATTATAGAGCCCTTCAAGTGTATCGGGGATAGCAGGTGCAGACAAAACTGGATATGTTGGTTCGACATGATCAAATGTACATGTGGGACTAGCAGGACCTGATGACTCTTGTAACTTATCAGACGTCAAATTGAGCGAAGTCGTAGGATTACAGACAGATACGGACTCCATGGGTTAATTAGAAGTATCTAGGTCTTCAAGGGCAGTAATTGTCCGTGAAGAAGGTTCCTTCATATTAACATATAAGAATGGCTGGAGACCAGCTCCAAGAGGAGGAAGAACATCTCCAGGAGGAATATACAATGAATTCAATAATTTTGAAGGTTTATTAAGTGACATATGATAAGAAAGGGCAGAACCAGAAAGAAAATGAACTCCCCTGAGATGTTTGACGAAACTATCCCTTCTGAGAAACTGAGGGGAACACCCTACACATAAGTTACACTTGTACTGCGAGCATGTCGGCCTATGCCTCTCCTCATAGTGGCGCTGATATCTTCTTATTGACCTTTGCTGAAAGTTGCATCATTTGACCTCACAGGGTTCGTCTTTATAGAATCCCGCACGTGACATTATCTAAAAAAAAACAAGATAAACAGCAGAAAAGTGTTAAAAAAATTGAAAACTTTAATTAGTATGCGACAATGTTGGAACAATTTCCAAGGCTGTGAAACAACTGGAAAATGACATTCCAAGATACTCGGTGTTCAATATATCTTAAACTTAAAGTGCCTATTAAATTCTTAATTGTTTTATTCATTGTATAACTTTGCTTAATATCATACTTATAACTTTATAACTTAATGTTAAATTACAACTTTTTGTTGTTGTTGTTTTTTGTAAGAGTAACAAGGATAACAGATTATTAAGTCATTAGCATAACATGCAAAATTTTATTAACATTTTTATTTGGTATACCATCTTATGTAAAGATGATGAGATAATGATTCATTTAACATGCAAATCTATTAACATTTTTATTTAGTATACCATCTTACGTCAAGATGATGAGATAATGATTCATTTAACATGCAAAATTCTATTAACATTTTTATTTAGTATACCATCTTATGTAATGATGATGAGATAATGATTCATTTAACATGCAAAATTCTATTAACATTTTTATTTAGTATACCATCTTATGTAAAGATGATGAGATAATGATTCATTTAACATGCAAAGTTCTAGTAACATTTTTATTTAGTATACCATCTTATGTAAAGATGATGAGATAATGATTCATTTAACATGCAAAATTCTATTAACATTTTTATTTAGTATACCATCTTATGTAAAGATCATGAGATAATGATTCATTTAACATGCAAAATTCTATTAACATTTTTATTTAATATACCATCTTATGTAAAGATGATGAGATAATGATTCATTTAACATGCAAAGTTCTAGTAACATTTTTATTTAGTATACCATCTTATGTAAAGATGATGAGATAATGATTCATTTAACATGCAAAATTCTATTAACATTTTTATTTAGTATACCATCTTATGTAAAGATGATGAGATAATGATTCATTTAACATGCAAAATTCTATTAACATTTTTATTTAATATACCATCTTATGTAAAGATGATGAGATAATGATTCATTTAACATGCACAATTCTATTAACATTTTTATTTAGTATATCATCTTATGTAAAGATGATGAGATAATGATTGATTTAATTAAATGCATGAACTAATTAGGTACATATTTCTCTACATAACAATTATTACAATTTATGCAATTAAATTTAGAAAAAACGACAGCTCTTAGATTTCTTCCAATAAACGTATTGGTGGTTTTGTCACACGTCCAGTTTTGGTTAATTTAATGTTTTGATGATCATGCATAATTTTTAAGAAGTTATCTGTTAGATCTTCATAATTTTCATTGAATCTGGTTGGACTTTCGGTTACATCGTTATCTAAATTTGATAACACAATTTGCCTTGGTATGGTTAACAATTCCCTATTTGGGTCATCTTGTTGTATCCAAGATGTAAGTCTGGAAGTATCTCCAAGGTATGGTTTAAGGTCATGAATGTGTACAATAATCATTGGGGCATCAAGAGCCTTTTGTATTTTTACTGTCACATCACATGGTTTACCTATAACCAAGTATGGTCCGGTCCAGCCTAAACCTAATTTGACATTTGCATTAGGCGGATACCATCTCCATACCCATGAGTTTACATCAATACTTTTAGTTTTCATATTTTGGTCATGATAATACTTTTGTCTCTTGAAAGAGCCAGTCAAGTTTTGTTGTGCAAATTCAAAAGCATGCTCACTGGCAGCTTGAACCCACTGTACATATTCTATAGGACACATACCATTATGATTTGGATCTCCGACCAAAATATCAATTGGTGCATTTATTTCTCTACCAAACAAATAAAGAAGGTGTACATTTTGTGCTATCCTGCACTTTAGTTCTGTATGCAAAAATAACATAGGGAAGATGGTAATCCCAGTCATTTCGGTTTGAATTGGCAAACATTGCCAACATTTGTTGCAATGTACGATTAAAACGTTCAATCATTCCATCAGACTGAGGATGGTAGGGGGTAGTGCGGGTCTTGTCTATATCTAATAATTTGCATAAGGCTTTGAAAAAATTTGATTCGAATTCTCGACCTTGATCCGTATGTATGCAATATAGGACACCATAACGACATATAAACTCGGTCACTAAAGTATCTGCAACAGTTTGTGCTGTATGATCTGCAATAGCATATGATTCTGTCCATTTTGTGAAATAGTCTCCTACAACCATTATATATGAATGACCACGGTCAGAAGTTGGTAAAGGGACAAGAATATCTATGGCAAAACGTTCCAATGGCAAACCGGATTGCACATTTTTCATTGGGGCCTTTCCTCGACCTGGGCCAGGTTTTCGCCTAGAACATAGATCACATTAATTGCACCACCTAGATACATCACTAGTAAGACTAGGCCAGTAAAACCTTGATTTAATGGCGTTCACAGTCTTGTCTCTACCAAAGTGTCCTGCAACTCTATTACTATATAATTGGTCAAAAATATATCTGCGGATATTGCTAGGGGTAACCAAAAGATTGACTTTACCTCCGATATCCTTATCAGAAATTTCATATAAAACCTCATTTACCAGGGTCAATTCATGCCATATATTGAGTAAAACTTTAGTACCATGGCTATATTTCGAAATAGATTGTAAGGATGGCTTTTCCTTGTCCGATTGCATTGCATGTATCAATGGACGTAACGTAGGGTCTTTTAATTGGAAATCTCTAAGCTGATCATTTTACCAAGTGTCAATCGATGTACTTACAAACTTTTCTGGTGAAATAAAACTAATTTTAGTTTGATTGTCTTTATTTGCTTTTTCGTGGCCTTTACTTGATTTTGATTTAGAATTAATATAAGAAGTCACGGGTTCGAATTCCGCACTTGGAACGATTTCAGTTGATAATGTACTTTTCTTTGCTTGGTTTCTAGTAAAAACAGAAATATTATTCTCTTCAATCGGGGTAACAGTCAGTACAATTTTCGCGCTTGCATTTTCAGTGTGCAATTCTACTAAGGGAATCAGCATTCCCGTGCAAACTTCCTTTTCTGTGCTCAATTTCAAAATCATATGTGTCTAAAATAGCTAGCCAGCGCGCAACAATACCCTCTGGCTCTTTGAAATTCTTTAACCATTTCAGTGAACTATGATCTGTACGTACTAGAAAAGGACTACCCCATAAATAATGTTTGAAATGACGGACGGAATGAACAACGGCTAGCAATTCCTTATAAGTAGTACAGTATTTGCGCTGAGACTTATTTAAGCTCTTACTTCCGTACGCAATTACCTTTTCCTCCCCATTTTGAACTTGTGATAAGATGGCACCCATACAGAAATTAGAACAATCTGTATCCAGAATAAAGCGTCCTGTTGTTGTAGGATACGCTAAAATTGGCGCCTCAATTAACTTTGACTTCAATGTTGTAAATGAATTTTCACATGCCTCAAACCAATGGAAACGGCTATTTTTATGCGTAAGTTGTGTAAGGGGTTATGCAATTGTGCTTAAATTTTCTACATAATTCTTGTAATAATTTGCAAGTCCAAGAAAACTTTTAACATAAGAAACAGACATCGGTTTTGGCCAATTTTTAACAGCATCTATTTTAGCTGGATCACAAGCCACCCCATCCCCAGATACTACATGGCCTAGATAAGCGACCTCCCTCTGAAATAATACACATTTCTTTGGTTTCAATTTTAAATTTGCTGACTTTTATCTGTCGCAGACAAGCGTTAAGTTTTCTAATGCTTTTTCAAATGTGTCGCCATACACAATTATGTCGTCCAAATATACCAGACAGCGTTCGAATCTCAGGCCACTTAGTGCAAGTTCCATTAGACGTTCGAATATGGCTGGACTGTTTGCTAGCCCAAATGGCATAAAATCAAAATGAAACAAGCCTCTGTGCGTCGCAAATGCAGTTTTATGTTTATCATCAGTATCCATGGCAACTTGCCAAAACCCACTAGCTAGGTCAAGAGTTCTAAACCAAGAAGAACCCGCCAATTGGTCAAGAGAATCAGAAATATTAGGCAAAGGATAGACATCTTTACGCGTAATATCATCTAACTTTCTATAATCTACACAGAATCTAACTGAATTATCTTTCTTTCGTACTAAGACAATAGGACTAGCAAAAGCAGAATTGCTTTCGGAATTTATACCATTTTCTAACATGTCATTTTTTCTTTATCAGCAATTTCACGTTGCGCAATAGGCAAACGTCTTGGAGGAAGCTTAATTGGACGGTTATCACCGGTGTCTATTGTATGTTTTTCTACATCAGTACAACCAAGTTTCCCATCAGGCCCTACAAAAATATCTTGGTAATTTATCAGAAAATTTCGCAATTGTTCAGATTGTGATTTCGAAAGATTTTCGCAAAACTTTTCATACATGGGCATTAAATGCCCCGGAAGTACATCATTTTCCATAGAAACGTTGAAACTTGTACCGTGTGAAACTACTTGCGCTGAAGAAATTTGAGATAAATTTGCTATTTCATAACCTTGTTTCAGTTTTACAGGCTCTGAATTTAAATTTAAAATAGAGAACACAACTTCTTTGTTGTTGCTTTCTACAAGAGACTTGGCTACAAATAGATCTTTACATTTACATTTACACGAAACTGAAACGCGAGTGCATACATTTGTATTTTCTCTTTTCAACTGCACTTTAAAATTTCTTATTTTAAGAATACCCTTGCCCCAACTAGTAGTAACATCAAATTTTTCTAGAAAGTCCTGGCCCAATAAACCATCAATTTTATCTAACTGGGCAACAACCGAATTGTGTTCAAACATACGACAGTTAATTTTAAGCTTGAGTTTACATTGTCCGAAGATATTCAATGGAGTACCGTCAGCACCTTTAAGCACAACATTGATTTTATTAAGCGTTGGCAAACTAGCGAAGAATTTATAACAGTCATAAGTCAAAATACTACAAGACGCACCAGAATCAATTAATAAATCCTTTTCACTACCATCTATAACACAGGTTAGAAACCAACAACCTTGTGAAATAGCTCTAACATTAACAGAAGGCCTTATGTTTGAATCACAATTAAAATTTTGCAAAAGGACTGGGATTTCGGCCTCAAACTCAGCCCGTTCTAGTTTAACGAATTTTGATTTGAGGTATTTTTTATTTCATTAGGAAGCGTACATGTAGACTGCGCTGGCGCATTGCCAAGGTTGTAATTATCTTGGTTGTAAACAGATCTATTCTGTTTTAACGGACAGTAGGTACTAATGTGACCCTCTTCGTGACAATTATAACATACTCTTTGACGGCGAGCGGATCTATTGTCTTTTATTACTAGTATTACCTGACATTTTATTGACAGAAAGGGAATCAATTTTATCACT